GCGAAATGCTGCGCCTTGCCTTTCAACCGTGTGCACCCTTGAGACAATCGCCGCTCTCACGACTACGTTTTCGGAAAAACCATTTCCGCCGCCAATTGTGGCTGCACCAGCGTTGCGCAATTTCAGGATTAAATTTCATGGTGCGTGCCTTTGGGGCAAACCCCGACGTCAACCAACTCGAGGAACTTTTCCCTTGCCCAAGTATTCCGGTCCGTGACCTCACCAACCGTCCCTTTTTCGCGGCTCAATAATGGGTAACGAGGGCGGTGGTGAAGATATATACGGTATCTCCAAGGTGCTTCGTTCGTGGACGAGTGCGCCAGCGGCCGTGTCTACGAGTACAGGTGCCATTCATTCCGTGCGGAACAAACCCCTTGTTTCCGTGCCCACCAACTCGCTCTCCAAAACAGAATGTGAGGCAGTCCGCATCCTTGAGATGCCTTCAAGGGGGCAGATTCTGTGTGAAAGAATTCATTCCACAAGGTAGAATGCGTCTTGACGCTGCTTCAGTTCACTGATGATGCAGTTTTATTGGTGCAGTCAGTTGAATTACGCTTCACACGTAATTTCCAAAGTCACTTCATGCTACAAACTTTAGGCGCGGTCCGGCGACGGAGGGGGGGAGACATTTTACTTACGTTGCTTCACTAGTTCCGAGTCACTAGTTTTACTCTGGTAAAACCTGTGAACTCTTGTTGAAGCTGGAGCGTCAAGCCATCATGGTAAAACCTGTCAACTCGAGAGGAGGCTGTCTAGATAGGTCGACATGTCGATGGGAAGCAGCGAAAGTGCAAAATGCCCCCCCCCCACTCCCAGGTCGCAACTCATACTTCATCTAGGCTTTTCTTGGGCCTTATATGACATCAGTGTCATTGAAAATAGGAAGATTACTGTGGGTGGGATTTGGCTTTGTTGCACAAAATCAACAGTTCCAAGGGACTCATTATTCAGTCGAGGACCTTTTTTCGCGTTCTCGGTTGCTTCTTTCGCTTTTCCTTCACATTTAGGTCACTGACCACCCACACTTTCATTGCTGAGCTCCTGTTTAGCAGAGTTTTGCCTTCAAGGCATGCTCATATTGTGGGAGGTGTCCTTGAATGATTCGTTCTCATTACTGGTGATGTTCATGAAATTGGGAGGAGGATTCCATCAATAGGAGGGGTGCCTTGTCAAAATGACTTCGCTCATACCATAAGCTGAAATGTACCTTCAATTCAACAAAAACTCCTGACGATAGCGTGTCGCGCAATTGGTCGCGCGCGGCGGAGGCAAATTTTCGTGACAGGAGCGCATATCAGCTCCCTCCAAAAGGAGGGAGATGGGGACTTTCTTGATTTTCTGGTCAATACAGTAGATCAATATAGAAAATCGATTAAGAAGAAATCACTAACGTTGATTATTTGAAATGAGTGACTCATCATGGCGATGAGCATGTTCAACAATACGATAATGGAAGTGCAGTGGTACATGATGAACATTGCCCGACCGACCGACTGGGTCAGATGATGATTCTGAAAGCGAACTGGGTTACTGTAATGGAGCAGGAGTGGAGTTGCATCAGTTAACTCTCACCTCGGCGACATCTGTATCTTCCGTTTTGGTGATTGAAAACAATGACCACAATAGGGTGAGGTACGAATCGGCGATCCTGAAAGGGAAGAGTTCATTTATTCTATTGATTTTCCAGGCTTTTGTCCCTCATTATATATAATAAAACATAGCCTAGGGGCTCTCTACATGGAGAGTGAAGGGAATGGCGCAGCTGAGGGGATAAGATTGCTCAGCACCGAGCATCCCATACTTAAAGACAACCCCTGCGCTCAAGTAATTCGTGGTCGTCCTTCCTTGTGCAAGTAGTCCAGCCCCCAAGCTAAGAGACTGTCCCACTCTCGCGACTCCACAGCGAGCGAGGAGCGAGCTACAGCCGCTGAAAGTTCTAGTTCTAACGCCCGCTCAGTTGGACCGCCCACTTGCTAGATGCCCTCTGACGGAGGGCCGCTCAGTTGTTCTTTGTTGGGGCGGCGGGCATTAATCGGAATTGCATGCTGCCGCGCCCATGAGTAATTCTGTTCTTTTTTGCTAAACCCGCTTCGTGCGCATAAGTAATTCTGCTATCCTTTATTACTTTTTTATTGCATTAGGAGCACGTGCAAGCAACCCATCTCGCAAGGGTAAAACGCGTAAAAGTCACGGGTGATACAATTTTCTTGGTGCACGAGCTCGACGCACTAAAAGATGCACGCTACCGTAACCCTAAATTCGTACGCCGAGTTTTTGAAAGTTTCTTTTTGTCAAGAGTTTTCCGTTGGTGTTTTTGTTGTTTTTCGTATTCTTTTCTTTGCATTGGATGATATACTACTGGGAGATGCGAAAAAGCGATTTGTGAGTCAGTGGCTGTACAGTGACCGCAGGGCGGTGTGACTATGGCGGTATGACTTTATGGTGTTCTTGAAGACTCTTCTTTCTTTTTTCTTATTTGAGAAATTACTTATCAGTTACTGTTTCATAATTGAACAGCAACTCCACGACACTTTTTTGCGGGAACTATACTTAACCCCTTCTAACAGTTACAAAAGCAAAACAGAAACCTACGATGAGAATACATTCGACTTAAGCCTACAGTCGTCTGGAGACATACATACCGGCGTATCCGGGTCATAATACCTGAAATTCATATTTTAATTATTTTAATTTTGAGTTTTGTTATTTTTGGGGTGGGGGCTTTTTGACTGATTGTTAATATTGTACAGAAAAAAATCACTGGAGGGAAGCGAACGATAATTGCGTCGCACAAGAAGTTCAGTAGGAGTTCAGGAAAATAACAAACACCGAAAACTGCGAAATAAAATAAAATTGATGCTGAGAGCTCACCAGTAAAGTTGAGCTAAACCGATACTAAAACTGCTGATAATGAGGACGAAGATAAAACAAAATTTGGCGACATCCACCAACATACATCCGAGCGAAATCTAAAAAAAAACTCAATCCGCAAAACATGTAAAAATAATCTTTTGAAAATAAACTTTACAAAATTATTACAAGGAATAATTTTATGCATAAATATCGCAGTAATTTTCAATGTTAAAGTTTCCCCAACTAGAGTAGCCGTTGAAAACGAGTTCCTCTAGTTGGTTCATCATAAAATGCACCTACAGAACTGTCATGGGCAAGGTACAGCACCGTTGTGTGAAACACATAGAGGGGTCGTACTTTCCTCCTGGGGAGGAGGGAGGTCATATTTGGTCGTTGCTGGGAGATGAGGGGGTCGTATGTGCCTTTGAGACGAATTTGCCGTGTTGTGAAAAATTTTTCCCGACTGTATTTTTTCTGTCTCATGCGTACTATATACCGCTTCCCCCTCCCCGACCCGCGCGGAAAATCTTTGGGTGAAAAACTGGGAAATGTGGGAAATTGGTAGACAGGTGTTGGTGAAGGGGGTGGGGGGGTCGTACCGAGGCCTTCCTTTGAGTATGGGGTCGTACTGACACGTTCTCTCGAGGGGAGGGTCGTCCTACACCACTGTTTCACACATCACGGTGCTGTACCCTGGTCATGGCTACGACTGGCAACTGAATACATTTCAGAACAAGATGTCAGCAAAAACGTAAGCAGTGACCGTGTGTGCCACGGCTCCAACTGGAAGCCTCTCGCTTACGATTTGAAGTTTTGGAACAAAATGGTGAGTATTCTACACGCTCTTCATCCAAAGTAAAAGCTCGTGCACGTGATTTTATCGGCGTGCGCGGTTTAGGCAGCGTTCAGACTTCGCGACGGCAGCGCTCTGGTCCGTTCGACGCGATCGATGCAGTTAAAAGCATGCGCATCGATCGCGCCGAACGCGGCCGAGGCGCTGCCGTCGCGAAGTCTAAACGCTGCCTTACTGAGACCATTTACAAGGGATATGGCCTCCAGCGAGCATCATGTTCGCACACATGAAAAACGATAGTGATGCTAATTGAATGCTGAGGTTTCCACTCTACTGTTATGGGCATCATAGCGCCAGTGATAAGTGAAGGTAGTTTTCACACGATAAAAGTTTTTTTTCTGAGGAAGCTTTTCCCTATCTGGTCTTTTCTCCTTTCCATGGAATCGTACGATTCCCTATAAAATGTCTGCTGCAATATAGCCGTGTGCACATAAGCAAGAGAAAATTGATGCTGGCTGCCTAAGATGGCAAGATATTTTCTTTTCTTTTTGTGTGGCGCAAGACAGAAATACACGTACTGGCATTCTCTAGACCGCACGTCGCGTGTCTGTTCGCGCGCGCGGTAGGAGGTAAGCTTACATGGCGCCATCCTGATCTAACAGTGCACATTTCGATCGCTTCCCAGCCTGAATTTCAAATCAGAAGTGATTCGAAAGGTAGGAGGCACATTGAAAAATGGGGGAGGGGTCTGGGCCACGCCAGTCATCAGTTCCACTAAAACCTTGTTTCGCAGAGAGTAACTAATAGAACGAGCGTTGCCCAATCTTGTTGATGAGTGGTGACCTCCCTACAATACCACAGGCAAAAGTCCATGAATATTATTTATAAAATCATTTAAATCACAACGATATTACAATTGAACGCACTTATCTCTTACCTGTAGAGGTCCGAGGTACGGGTTGGTTTGGAACAGATAGATGATGCGAGCAAAGCTAAATGTGATGTTTTGGGCCGTGAAGTGGAAAAATCCTACTTCAAAATTGAGAGAAGAGCCTCAGAGTCATATAAAATACCTGAAGACATTTCCAACTGCGAATAGCGCTTCAGCCACTAACATCGGCTCGTAGGCTTCCCAATGGGTTCGAATCGAGTAACGATGTGGATAGTCCATATAGCTGTAGATCCAATAGGCACTCAATCTATAAGTGGCGATTGATTCAATTATCAGAATTTAAAGCTATAATTGGATTTTGGGAAATGAGGGGTACAGTAGATTGTGGGTCATTCACGTCAAACTTTCGAGACCTTAAACTCCCTATTTCTTCAATAACCCTGTGACTCCGCCCACGCGACCAGCGCGGATCGTGTTTTGATATGTTTGTATAAAGCCTGAAAACGGAATTCCTCCTTCTCAGGGAGTTTCCCGAAATCGTGAGCGATGAGAGGTATAGTCCGCGATGGTCGTATGGGCAGAGATCAACGATT